AGTCATTCACACGTACACACTCTGATCTAACTGATCACTGTGTTTAAAACTTTGTTATATAAGGTGGTGGGCAATATGCGCTCTTTTAAGGAGTTGTGTTTTCATTCCGTTTGTTTTTGAAATGACCATTTCATAAACACTCTCTTAGATTAGATAGGTCATTATTGGGGTATTTGATGTGATTCAACAGTGAGTCTCCAAGTCCACAGTGTTGGACTGCAGCTGGTGACGGCAGAGATGTTCTCAGCTCTGAGCAGATTCTGCAGCAGGTGGAGAACTGGGTCGCAGCTTACTGAGGAGAATACATCCACAGTCCAGAAAACAAGCTTCAGTGATAGGATGCTGAACGCAGGGTTAATATGTTTAAATACTGCTCAAAGGAATCTATTTGTTTAAACCGTTGTATATTGTGTAAGAAACTGAGTTGTTAAGAAAAAGTTGCTTCTTTGTGCACGTGTTTCACATCCTCCCCATGATCGTCTCAGTCTTACGGCACTAAGTTTAGTAGAAAAAAGAAAAGAAACCAGATATTTTCATTAGAGAGGACATGGAGGTGGAGTGTGGACAGGGGGCACAGAGGAAACGGTGAGATGGATGAGATGAGGGTGACTCACTGTGGCAACCCCTGAAAAGGGTATAGTCAGAAAAAGAAGACTGTCAAAATGAAGGAATATTTGTATTTATTTATATTTATGTTTATTTAACCTTTATTTATACAGGTTAGTCTCATTGAATCATGAGGACTCGTTAGCAGTGTGGTACTTTTAGCAGCGTGGTACTTTTAGCAGCGTGGTTCTGTTATGTTTTGTCTGTGTGTTTTTCTAATAAAAAGAACCATTAAAAGAATTTCAAATAAACTTTCAGAACATAATCATTCTATGTACATTTACAGATGATAAACTTTTAAAGTCAATTCAAGATGATCAGTGTAGCTAATTGGCCTATAAACCCCTGAAAGGTCGCAGACCTTGCACAAGATCGCCCATAACGGACTCGTGTTCGTGCTGCTGTTGTTTGCCATATTGTTTTTGCACTATTCAGTGTTTAGCATATTCTTAGTTTAGCATATTTCTTAGTTCATATCTTAAATCTTATTACTGTTTTTCTTTACAATTTATACTTTTGTTGGATGAAACCAAGTGGGTATCTCTGCAGACAAATTCGGAAGGCGTATCTGAACGGTCACACATGATTGGACGATAGACAAATGGGCGTATTCAGAGGACCACATCTGATAGGACGATAGTAAAATGGGTGTGTCCGGAGGGCCACATTTGATTGGACGAAAAAAAACAAGCCGTTTGTGTTAACCACAGACATATCATATGTCTGTGGTGTTAACCGGTTCGACATTAGTGGTGTCTCCATAACTTCTCTTTCCGCCTCTTAACACAGAACTTGTGGTTACATTTCAAAATAAGAGCAACATAACTGGGTGGGCTAAATGTTTGTTTTTTAATACCTAGTAGCCATTACATTAAAAAACAAAATATGTTTTGGTTGTTGAATAATATGAAAATAGTTACAATCAATTCATAAAGATAGAACAATAAAGTAACCAAAATATTAATGTTACTTAAACTGACTTTGGGACAAAGGATGTTTCCTTTAACTTCACATTTTCTTGTTCAACTTTTAAATCAGTCACTGCAGATGAGTGATTGTCAGTTTCTGTCAGATTTCTGCAACTGGAGCAGATATTTCTGTTTACTGGTTAACTTCCTCAGCTGTCTCACATTTTAAGGGTCGATCCTACTCCATGTTTCAGCTCCTTCCATAGATCAGATTCATAGAAGAACTCCTAAAGAGCAAAATTTGTTTTTAGCTTTTGTTTTGGGCTGTTATCTCGTCACAGGACTCATGATCTTTAATTGAGCCTTTTTTGACAAATGGAGCAGGTTTCGCTTCAGATACTTCATATTTCATTGTACGAAGGGCGTCAGAAGCATCTGTAATGTGGGGGGGACACAATGATGTGTGTGTGTGCGTGCATGCGTGTGCTCATGCATGTGAGCGCATAAAAAAGTTGTACATTACTTTACAAAAAAGCAACATTTCACCTAGATTTCCTTTAATTCCACACATTTAAAACATGTTTCTTACCAAGTTTGTGTAAATTCAGCTGTGGGTTTTAGACATTTTAATTTTAATACACTTTAATACGGAGTGTCAGGTCGGCACTATTTGTGTTTATAAAGAAACAAAAAAACGTCACCACTGGACTTTTTTACTTGTGTTCAACACTACTCATCTAAATGATGTTTCTCATGAAGCTTGAGGACAATAAGGTGTGGGGTTTTAAAGATATTTCAACTTTAATGCACCTGAACACACAGCGTCTCTTACACCTGCAGCGTCTTATGTCACAGTTACTGTTAAGCTAACATGCTACGTAGCGCTCCACTCAAGCATCCTCCTAACATGAATATATGTTTATGATCAAGCCCCCTGGTCAACAACTGCTCGCACTAAGCTGCTAAACTGGCGAACAAGCAACACAGCGGTGTCTCCATCTCCTCCACCTGTGCGTGTTTTCTGCCGAGGCAGGAGGAGACACACAGAAAGAAAGTTGGAGGTAACCAGGAAAACCTGGAGTGGAGTTTTAGTAGTTTGAGTATTCTCCTATTGATCAAGTGGAATGGGTTCGTTCACGAAGAAAGAGAAACTGCACCACTTGAACTAATGTTTTATAGTAAAAGTGGGGCTCCAAATGAACGTTTTTTTGAATGTGGGGGGGACATGTCCCCTTCACATATAATGGTTGTGACGCCTATGCATTGTACCCAGATCACACTCAAGGCAACCTGTGTCAGGTGCAGCCTACAACCCAAGGACTAAAGAGAATCTTATTGTTGGACAGTAGATATAACGCTGTTTCTTAGGGTGCATTCACACCAGCCCTGTTTAGTCCGCTTTAATCGAACTCTAGCTCGTTTTCTTAGAAAGTCCGGTTCGTTTGGGGAGGTGTGAACGCACCATCGAACTCTGTCACGGAACAAAATGGCGAACTCTGGCCCGGGCTAAAACCTAGGTCTCGGTCCGGTAGAAGCGAACTCCAGCGCGGTTCGAGTGCAGTGTGAATGTAAACAGACTGAGACCCGCTCCTCAGGGTAAACAAACACGCATTGCTCTGACCTTATATGGAGCCGTCAGCTGTCTTGTGTGGAAAAACAATATTCTCCATGGTCTTCTGTCTCATCTTCTGCTCATGCTAAGTCCATTTTTGAAAAATGACAAAATATAACTCCTAAAACTGCTAAAACTTGATGCCACTTCGTTTTTATTTGTATTTCCAGAAGAAGAAGAAGACGTGTCTTCAGAGGTTTTGTGTAGTTTCTTTCAGTAGTTCTTGATGCAGCGCCCCCACAGGCGAGTGGGGGAATAGGTTGGTTCAACAGGTTGACTCGACTGCACAGTACAGTGTGAATGCAAACTCACCAGCTCACATGTAAACAAAAGGTCATGAATATTGGTCCCGAACCGAACCGAGTCTACCGGACTATCTGGTGTGAAAACAACCTTAGAAACCTTCAGTTTAAAAAAGAGCTGACGTAACTTACCTAAAAGCAGCAAATACAGCTAACCAATCAGTGTTTGCCCTTTAGAAACGCCTTTTCTCCAGAAACGCCCACTTTTGGTCTGCAGAGAACCCATTCTCGATGAAACTGGGACTCTGTGTACACAATTTCATTCCACCACATGCACCACGAGATGTGAATGACAATAAAGACAACTTGACCTTGATTATATCGCTGACAAGACGGCATCGACTGTCGTTTCCCCTCATGAAATGATTTAAAATTTATTTAAAACTCTGGCATGAAATGCAGTGGTGATAAGCATGCCTTTGAAGAATGCTAGGTTTTGAATGAGCTGTGTCGAGCGTGATGTTGAGACATTTCCTTGTCTTGTTTTAGAATCCAGAAGGAGCTGGCAGAGATAACTTTGGACCCGCCGCCTAACTGCAGGTAAGGCCTGAAACAGGCTGTTTGCTGCGTCACCTGAGGCACATGGTTGTGAGCTTGACATTTCTGTGCTGTTTGTTGTGAGTGAAGCTGAATGAATAAAGCTTGTGAGCTGTCTGAAGCTTGAAGCTGACTCAGCGTTGCAGACAGTATAACTGAACTGCCGGTCCACCACCTGCTGCAGTAACCGTGCTAGTTTTACTTGGCAAGGGTGACGGTGACACACCGCTGCAGCTTCACTGCTTCGACAGCTTTGTTTGCCCTCTGGATTCTGAGCAGGCTGCTTGTGAAAGTCGAGACCTAAATCACAGCTTCCATTTAGCTTTTTCCATCTTGTGAAAGTACAAGTTTTTCTGTGGAAAGTGCTGGCTTCTCTGGACTTGTTTAAGTAGTGAATAAACAGGAAATGCACAGCTGACATTTTTCAACTCCGTGCACTTTTCAGAAGTCTGACAAAGAGAGAACATTGTTACCCTACAATTCAATTCCATTCATTCCATATAGTGCAGAGTCACCACAGAAGACAGCTCAATAATATAGGTTGAGTTTTGCTATTTGGTGTACATTTTACAATACGCATCACATGCTACAGATGAGGAAAAATGAGAACGTATCATGTAGAAATACATTACCGTTAATGTATTTGTTTTTTGATTATATAAATGTATTGACTGTGTGTGTGTTCACTCATCTCTATCATTAGCAAAATATCTCATGAACAACTAGATATATTTGAATGAAACTTTCAGAAAGTAATCGTACATCTATATGTACACGTTAATATTGCCCTCTGCGAATAGTAAGTTCCTTCTTCAAGGGTCACCACAGCCAGCAAACTCGCATGAAATTGGCCATTTGTTTTACGCCGGATGCCCTTCCTGACGCAGCCTGGGCTCGAACCTGCAACCTCAGTATTACAAGACCGCAGCACTGACCACCAAGCTAATATCGCCCACTGCAAGACAAGTGGTAATGATTTTACGAATGTATGCGTGTGCGCATGTTTTTATTTATCCATTTGTTGACAGTCCATCTCATAAATCACTGAATAGGATTTTTTGAACGCTTCAGAAAGTAATTAATGGATTGACATCTTCAAGTGACTGACTTTTTTGGAGTCGGCTCATTTCAAGATGTCCACATCTGACCTATATAAATAAAGGTTGAATGAATTAGAAAGACACCACACCTTAGAAAACACAAAAATGGTTATATTTCAGTCAGTGGTAAAGATATGTACTGTAGCTGAGAGTCATTTGCAACACATACTTTAATTGTAACGCCGTGCAGTATTGCACATGATTGTGCATTTCATTAAAGGAAGGATAGGTCTTGTGGGTTTTGTGCAAATTTTCACAGAATCCCACGTCTGTGTAACTGCAAATACAACAGTGATTTTAATGAAATCATTCAGTTATGTTCAACCAACGTTTTGTGGTGTGAATTGTAGGACTAATCTTTGTAAAACTTTTTCCTAATTTTTGTTAGCACTTTTTTGAATGAGCAGTTCTTGAGCAGCATCTTTTTGTAAACGCTGAACAGAACACAAAGACGTTCTTTGCAATGATCATGAAGGGCTGCAAAGGAGCTGCAAGGAGCCTCAAAGTTTTACTTTAAGGTTTTTTTAATTCAAACAGGAATCATAATGTGTTGTGTTACTGACCACTATTGCATGATATATTTGGCACACTTGACTTTTCATTTTTAGGAGCTAGTGGGGACTTAGCTGTGTTGTAGATGTTATGTTCCAGTAAGGTATAGGATTGCCACTTATGACTACCTTCATTTTAATTAAGCTGTCATGTAATTTATTGAACATTTGATTACCATATTTTCCGCCGTACGCGTCGCACCTCCATATAAGTTGCATCAGTCCATATTTGTCTAATAAAGTGGAAAAATCCATAAATATGTTGCTTCGCAGTATACGTCGCATCTATTATGCGTCACCGCTGACAACCCGGACATGTGAGCCGGTGTTGTGCCAAAAACTGTTGGTCTACCAAATGGCGGCCGCGGGAGCGTGCACAGGAGGACTTTAACAAAAATTTAAAAAGATTAACACTTAAAAACAATTGTTTGTTCAAAATTATATTAATGTGTGTATCAATCTAACATTTGCTTAATAAATAAACTTTAATCGTCAAATCAGCTGCATTTAAAAAATAATTCGCTGCCTCGGTGCTCCATGAACGTGCAGAGGAAGAGAGAAGGAAGGAGGAACGCGGCTCGTTTCTCCAAAAATTAACAAGAACTGCACCTAAACAAAAATTTTTTTTTTTTGCTCGAAATTATAGCAAAAGTGTGTCTCAGTCTAACTTTTGCTTAATAAATGCCCTTTAATGGTCAAATTAGCTGCATTTCATCGGGGCAGTGCAGCTGGTTTGACGGTCGGTCCAAACAGCAAGCAGAACCAAGGTGGGGAGACTATGGCAAGCCGATTGAGTCATTAAAAGCTGGTGAAGATTCTCAGTCACCCAGGACATGGTAAATTCAAAAAAGTTCAAGAAAAAAAACAAAGTATAAAGTGTAATAAATAAAGTCCAGTTGTTTTTATCTTGAACTTTTTTGAATTTGTCATTATAGCCACATTTTCCTATTTCATGACAGAACAGCATGCCATACAACTATTAGTACTCTGCTGCCATCAAGTGGCTGAAAGTGGTACTGCTCAATTTTTTTTCCACAGTCGGAATGAATGAAAATGGTCATATCTCAGCCAAAAATTGGTTTATAAATTTTGAAAAAAAATCCATAAATATGTCGCTTCGGCCTATAAGTCGCATGGCATGTAAATTATGCAAAAAACTGCGATTTATACAAAGAAAAATACGGTAATCTAAATGACTAGTTTTCCTTAAACTCAAAATCCGCAAAAATGTTTTGGTTCATTTTATTTTAACTGTCAATTAGTATTTCCCTTAATTAATAACCACATCTTGGATCTACTTAATTTGTCTTTAATGAATGGTTACGTACCACAGAGCTTTAAGATAGCTGTAATTAAACATTTACTTAAGAAAAAAAACCTTGACTCAGGAATCCTAGCCAACTATAGACCTATATCTAATCTAACTTTCATCTATAAAAATTCTAGAGAAAATAGTTGCAGGTCAGTTGTGTGAATATCTACAATGAAATAATCTGAAGAGTTTCAGTCAGAGTTTAGAGCTCATCATAGCACAGAAACAGCACTGATGAAAGTCACTAATGATATTCTCATGGCCTCAGACAATGGACTTGTGTCTATACTGGTCCTGTTAGACCTCAGTGCTGCATTTGATACAGTTGATCACAATATTTTACTACAGAGGCTTGAATATGATATTGGGATTACAGGAATGGCTCTAAAATGGTTTAAATCATATCTATCTGATAGATTCCAGTTTGTAAATGTAAATAATGAATCTTCATCGTATATCAAAGTTAGTCATGGAGTTCCTCAGGGCCCAGTGCTTGGGCCAATACTCTTTACTTTATAGATGCTTCCATTAGGTAATGTTATAAAACAGCATGGGATACATTTTCATTGTTATGCTGCTGATGCACAGTTACATTTGTCCATGTAACCCAGTGAATCTAATCAGCAAGCATGTCTTAAAGACATAAAAACCTGGATGACCCTAAATTTTCTGCTTTTGAACACAGACAAGACTCCAGTTAAGACTCTGGCAGCAGCATTTTGGATCAGCTGAAGACTTTTTAAAGACGTATTTGGACACCCAGATAATAAACCATTGCAATAGTCCAGTCTAGACGTGACAAATGCATGGACCAGTTTTTCTACATCATTTTTAGATCAGATGTTTCTAATTTTAGTGATGTACGCAGGTGGAAGAAGGCAGTTCTAGTAACATTTTTAATGTGGGGGATAAAAGACATGTCCTGATCAAAAATAACACCAAGATTTTTAACATTAGAGCTGGAGGACAGATTAATGCCATCTAAGGAGGGAGAAAGACTGAAACATTCATTCCTAAGGTGCTCAGGCCCAAAAACCAAAACCTGAGTGAGAGAGTGAATGGTTGTTTGTCTCTATGTGGCCCTGTGATGGACTTGCGACCCGTCCAGGGTGTACCCCGCCCCTCGCACAGTGATTGCTGAACATGGGCACCAGCGACCCCCGTGACCCAAAATGGAATAAGCGGGTAAAGATAATGGATGGATGGATATTTGAATGTTTCTGTTCAGTGCCCTTCGATGACTTCTGTTGTGACTTGGCGCTATATAAATGAACTGAATTGAATTAAACTGTAACTTTTATGGTTTGGTTCATAAAATTGCTCATACATACAGTAACACAGCTCCCAGCTATACAGCCCACTGGAAGCAAACACTCTGGTTTCAATAGGACTTGCACAGAATTCTATTTTATTTTTTTCCTCACAGTTTTTTTTATTTATTTCTCTTACAGAACAGGTATAGCCCTGAAAGATGCTATGAGATGCTATGTCAAAGATTTGAGCATTCCCACAGTTGACAGCAGGGTCCAAAACAAAGTGGTGGAAACACTGTAGAACGCATGTGGTGCATGTTTATTCATCGCCACTGAATCTTATGAACTGTTCTTAGCATCCTGACTCCTTTCTTATTCAATTTGTTCCTGCAAACTTATTTAATGAAGGCTGTTTTATACTGCTGTGTAAAACAAAAATATTTTGTTTATTTTAGGTATGAGATATTCCAGATTTAGAATTTAGTTTGAAGTGCTTTATGGATGATTTGAGATGCATCCATCATCATTTTCCAATCACATCACAGCCCTTTAAATTGTAAACAAAACTATTAAGTATTTAAAGATTAACACCCATATTGTCTATATTGCTTAAAACCTATACGTTAACACACATAGATGTGTTGAGTTGTAATTCCCAGTTAAGATTGGTTTCCACACCTACAATAAGTATAGATTTTAGCTATCATGATTTATTTCTCTTGCTAAAATGCACAAGTAGAATTTTGTTTCAGCGTTTTACTCTAAACCCATTCCTTTAAAAAATATAGGCTAAGAGGAAAACAAAGTATAGCTGGTGGAGCTGCATATTTTTATGGGAAAAACTGCTGGTTATGGTATAATACTGGCACAGCATTAATTTTGAGAAAAATGTTTCAAACATAAGGCCTGTCTAACGTCATAGAATTTAGCACCTAAAAAAATGTTTTTCATCACATCCTTTCTGTTGCTGCAGTGGTGAGCCCAGGAAGCTTTGCAAAACGCACAAACAACAAGTTCATTGTCAGCTAGTTCAAAGTACTCTCAGTACTCCGTGCTCGTTACACATATTTAGCCATTGAAAACTTAACTTAACTCAACATGATCAATATTATAGAAATCACGGACTGTTTTTCGGTCATGACAATGTTAAACCCTGATCTAAAGAAACACTGGAATTGACTGTACTAGATGAGATTTTTGGTTGCCATCTTGTGAGAAGCTACGTATGTGAATCTGTACCGTTTACATGTGGAGGCCACACAATGTTAACGTCCTGTGGTGCTGTATGCCGTCATCAGTTTATGAGCATTCAAATAAGGATTTTTTTTTAACTTAAAGGAAGATGCGGGTAAAGATGATGGATAGATGGATGAAACATATCATGCATAATGTGAAAAAAGAAGACAAGTATTATGCAACAAGCCTAGTCAACATTATTGGGGCAAAAACTACCACCAGACATGCACCACTACTGTGATAGACCAAGTCCTGTTGTTTTTCAAACCAGACCAGAACATAACTGTACTTTAAGTAATTAAGTACTTAACATGTCTGGTTAGTTTAATCAGAGCTCTGTTACCAGTGCCTGAAGATCATTTTCCTGGGGAAAAAGGATAGAAACTGGGGTTTGATGATATAGCAGAAAATAACAAATCACACTTTTTTTTAACAATAAAATAATTTTATTGCAATTTTGACTTTTTTTTTCTTAACAATTTTGCAAATATTCAAACAGAACATCCAAATTGTTTTCCCATCTCAAAAGATTAAAATAAATAAAAATACAGGGTATACATCAGACTATGTTCACACTTCAGGCAAAAGTGGCCCAAATCAGATTTTTTTTCTCCCACCATATACGACACACATCAGATTTTTTTTTTTAACTGACACATTTTTTTTTAAATCATTCTTTCAAAGAACACGCATAGAAAACCCAATATTGACAAAAGGACTGAACTCTGCTTCAGTCAGAACTTCTCAGAATGCTCCAAAACATTTCAGTGGCAGAGTTAGGTCTTTCCAGATGAGAGAGGTTTTTGTCAATGATCACTTTTTTTATTGTTTTGGCATTGTGTTAACATAGAAAAACATTTTAGGAGCACCAAATGGTATTTAACAAAATTGGGTCCCAACCCCACATTTGTGTTTTTGTGTGGACAGGATAAACATGACCTTTTTTTGAAAACATTGATGTCTTAGACCACCCCCAACCTAAACTACAACTTCAAGCATGACATAAAACTCCAGCCTGAGAATAATTCCCGAGATCTGATTCATTCTGCAAAAAGCATTGGGAGTCTGGGTGCTCGAGGCACGAACCAAGCCATCATAAGGCAAGCGGTGTAATTGGGTCCAGATTTGCTGCCGACAACTTCCTTGATTGATGATAGAGCAGGAATCAGCCAAATCCAAAAAACAGGAACCAGTTATCATACATCCAATTGTTATTGCGTCCTTAAAATACACAAATGGCAGCAGAGATGGACACGTCTTCAAAGTCGATGAGATATCCAACTGCGTGCATGCCAACAGGGCAAATCGGCTCGCCTAAAGCCTGTCTTCTCTTCAAATAAATGTTATCAATTGTGTTGTGGGACCAACTGATCAAATCCAAGTCCATAATTATGTTTCAGAAGATATGTAGAAGAGAGGTTCTAAGCATTTTCACAGACAGGACAGAGCAAAAGCAAAGTGGAGAGGGAGAGGAGGAGAAGACGTCCACCCTTGACAAGAGCAAGTGTTGATGTACATAATTCACCTCAGCAGGGAAAAGGTGACGAGAAAAAAAAGCACATTGATGTATTGAGTTGGGATTCTTTCGACCCAAATATTCGACCAACACACATTTGAAGCCATTTACAGAATTTTTGTTTAAACAGGAATACTACAACTCCAGATATGGGAATCGCAGGAACCGTGTGCAGATCTGTCAAGGGTTCCTCCTGATGTGACAGGGAAAAACCAAGGGAGATCCATGAGTAACAGGGGAAGCGTGGAAGGAGAAATGGTCCTGGTACGGTTAATGTGGGATCCATTGTTAGACAGTTAAAAAAAAATCCAGCAGGCAGAGAGGAGTCAGAAGTCAGGCAAAGGTCAAAACTATTCAGTTAGTCCATAAGAAAACCAGGCAGGGGCAGGCAAAGAGCAGGGGTTGAGAAAGCAGGTTCATGAACAAGAGTTTGATGTCTCACTCGATTTTCTGTTGCTCTTTCCACATCAGAATCAATAACAGGATGATCCAACTGTCTTTCTGACTTCAAAGTTGGTCAGCTGTTAAGAGAAGTTTGTACCAAATTATGTATTTATCAGGGGCTTTTTAAAGAAAAAATGAGAAGATCTATATATATTACATTTAAATGATCATCTTGAGAGAACAGATTTTGCCCGCAGCTGTTGAGTTTGACATGTGTGCATGGATCAGGACTATAAACAGCAGCGTTTTCTAGTTGATTTAGGAGCTAAGAGTCACACACTTTGTCTTCATAAAGATTTGGGCTACATCATAAGAGCTTATAAGATTTTGTTGGCAGAATAAGTTTCACAGTCTTTTCTCCCTTTATGTATTTTTTGTGATTTTATAAATGCAGCGCCGGACCTAAAGGTGACAACATCTATGAGTGGAGGTCAACTATTCTGGGCCCTCCAGGCTCCGTGTACGAGGGAGGAGTGTTTTTCCTGGACATTGCCTTCACACCAGACTACCCCTTCAAGCCACCTAAGGTGAGTGATGCCATCTGCTATTCACCACAGCTCCTGTCTTCGATTGCTTTGATCGGTGCCACATTTATTTCAGTTGTCTGTCAGTAATAAATCTTTAAATCTTTAAGGACTTCTTCACTCACAGCATGTTGGCAAATGAAGTTACAGCAGCATCAAGAACTGAAACAGGCTTTTAGAAAATTTATGGTTTGGTTGGAATTCCAGATTAGTCGATAGGAGTTCTTTCAAAATTACAAAAGACACCACCACCCCTCCCCATCCGCCCCCCCCCCCCCCCCCAAAAAAAAAAAAAAAAAATTAGGTCTATCTTTTTTCTGCTGCAGAGCGGAGATATGACTCGCTGCAGGAGGGAGCTTCTCCTGCAGTGTGGGCTGCACACAGGTGCAGCAGGTGCTAAATAATTTTAAATTGATTTTAAATAAAAATTCTCTGCCTATCGTGCAGCTCATCCATCAATCAGCCAATTGTGTGTCATGTCCAATCTTACTTTGAAAAACGGCGATAGAGCGAGTCCACGTAAAATGAACTGCGAAGTAGCAAGGGACTACTGTATATATTACTTTTGTCAGTTGTCCTGATGCATGCTCAGTAATCCAGGTAGATCAATTTAACAAGGTTGAGTGAGGTCCTCTGGACGGATTCTTTTTTGTTGAAACATTTTGTCTTTTATCCAAAAGACTTCTTCAGTCCGAGGAGCTACAATATACTCAGTCTTATAAGCAGCACCTTCTCATAGTGGATCAACCAGTTTGCTGGTGACAAACAAAACTAGTTGTTCACATGCAAAAGGAGGACCATCAGCCTAACGAGTGATCGTTAGTGCCCTAATGGCTGCTCACTATTCACAGAGAGCTGTGTGATACTTGAAAGGGAGAGAGGGACAGTTGAACACGGACTGCTTTATGTGAATGATGTGCTTCTGCTAACGTCTTCAGACCAAGACCTTCAGCGTGTCTTTGCCTCAGGTGGAGGCAGTGGTTAATTTGATCTGGATCCTGCCGGAACAAGATCTGGGAACTCTCTCATTTTGACTTTGTGTGTTCTGGCAGCCGTTTGCTCGGATCCGGCAACTCAATCTCCGCCCATGAAAGTCCAAAGTCATCTCGCATTTTAATTTTCATCCATCCATCCATTATCTTTACCCGCTTATTCCATTTTGGGTCACGGGGGTCGCCGGTGCCCATGTCCAGCAATCACTGTGCGAGGGGCGGGGTACACCCTGGACGGGTCGCAAGTCCATCACAGGGACACATAGAGACAAACGAGACAAACAACCATTCACTCTCTCACTCACACCTAGGGACAATTTAGAGTTACCAATCAGCCTAACATGCATGTTTTTGGTCTGTGGGAGGAAATCGGAGTACCCGGAGAAAACCCACGCATGCACGGAGAGAACATGCAAACTCCACCCAGAAAGGCCCCTGGACCGGGGTTTGAACCAAGGACCTGCTCGCTGAGAGGCATTTTAATTTTATTTTTAAAAAATACAACAAGAGGAGGCGTTGCCCAGTCTGTGGAGTGGATGTTTCAGCTGCTTCACGCGCACCAGCTCGCGCACACGCTCCTGCCCAGCAGAGACGTGGACCGCATGTCCCACGGGGATGAGCGTCTTCATCCACCTTCAGCTGTGCGCCCTGCAGACAGTGCACGTTTTACGCACAGGAGCGTCTCCAGACAGCTCTGCAGAGCGCGCGCAACTGCTGTGTCAGAACTCCTGCATACATTTCAAAGATAATAAATAAAAAAGCTTACAGTAAAAAAAAAAAAAAAAAAAAAGAGAGAATTGTTTGTAGTATTCACATTATCACGTTTCAAAATTTGTCAAAATAACAGCGATCAAAATGTCCAATAGACAGTCCAATTATCTAAAATAAATTTACCTGCCTTATAATCTAGATGTTTTTTCACTTTTGGTTACCATTTTATTTTAATTTGTAAAAAAGATTAAAAAGGACGCTTGACAGAATCGGAGCTGTTCAATGCTCTAAAATAGTCATTTAAATGCAACCTTTATTTATACAGGTTGTTGGGCTCATTTACAAGAGAGACCTGATTTTGATTAATTTAATCAAATGTTTAACAACCTGTTAAAATACACCAAAATGCAGGAAATTGCATCTCTTTTCTTACAAATTTTCTGGGGAAAGACCCACAGACCCTACCCCTGCCGGACCACCTGCTGTTTGTATTACAGCATCAATCAGTTTACAAATTAACCCCTGGGTGGAGGAGTTCAAGGAGGAGTCCTCAGCTATGAAAACATTGCTTCTGTCAGTCGTGGTTAAGAAAGAGCTGACTCGAAAGGCAAAGCTCTCGATTTACTGGTTTATGTTGTGACCCTCACCTATGGTCATGAGATTTGGATCATGACTGAAAGAATGAGATCCTATATACAAGTGGCCGAAATGGGCTTCCTTCGTACGGTGGCCGTGTTCAGCCTTAGAGATAGGCCGAGGAGCTCCATCAACTAGATGGAGCTCAGAGTGGAGCTGCTGCTCCTCCGCATCAAAAGGCGTCTGAGTTGGTTCGGGCATCTGATTAAGATGCCTCCGGGACACCTCCCTTTAGAGGTTTTCCAGTCAGGTCCCACTGGTTGGAGGCCCCGTGTAAGACCCAGAAGTCGCTGAAGGGATTGTGTGTCGTGGAAAGAAATTCCCAAATGATCAGGTGTAGATTTCATATTTATCACCAAACTTTGGAGAACAGTCAACAACTCACAGAAGATCAATGCATTTACAAGTGCACACTTATCAATAGCTGCACCTGTCTGAGGTTCTGACCCATTCTGAGCTTCCTGTATGCTGTTGGAACAACTGGTGTCAGTTTCCTCACCGTTCCCCCCAAACGATCCAACCGTTATCAAAGCAGCTGTGCATAGAAATGATTGGGAGTTGCGGAAAACAAAAACACCTCTCTAGGACTCTGGGAACACGTCACTGTGTCTAAATGAATAAATGTATGGTTTTAGAAAGCTGAGATCTGATAACTCCTCCTTTGTATAAATGTATCAATCCAAACCTTGAGCATAACAGAGATGATCTCTTCGCCGTCTCCTTACTGACAGTCACATCAAGACTGATTATGATGTAAGAAAGGATCATGGAAACATTTAATTTCATTCACAGTAACAGTGAAGGAGCAGAAAAAGGTTATAAAGTCTACATTAATAAGATATAGAGCATGGTGTAAGCATATATACATATTCCCTCAACACGTGTATCTTCTCTGACCTGGGAACACCCAGAACAAGCTGGAAAGTGTCGCTGGGAAGAGGCATGTCTGATTTCTCTCCTGGACATGTTGCCTCCACAACCCAACTATGGATCAGCAGAAGAAGAGGGATGGATAAAACATTACCATCACTGATTTGAAACATGGTCTTTCATTCCATTGTTATGCTGATGACTG